TATTTTTTACATTAAATATTAATTTCAGGACTTAAATTTGAAATCTAAAAATTTACTTTATTTTTCAGCTGAAGGGAGGATTGGTTAGTAGGAACAAAATGTCCCATGAATGAAATCAATTTCAAGTAGGCGCATGATGTTTTATTATATTACGGCCACAATAGGGTGTGAAAGGCAAACCACAAAGCGTTCACGTCCTTCAATTCCAAGTAGAAAGAGTCGAGTTTGGACTCTTTGGGATTTGGTTTAATTATTCAACGCCTTCAAAATTGAAGAACATGCCAACTCTTCAAGAGACTCAAGCATGCCGGGTGATGCGTTGCATGACGCATGATTTACAGAACGAGTTTTTGGAATTTACCCAAACTTTGGTTGTCATCTTCGCACCCTTTTTAATTTGGGTTCTTTGGGATTCTCCGAATAATTCCCCTAACTTTCAATTTTTTTTTCCTTTTACTCTTCTCTCTCTCTCTCTCTCTCATATATTCATGGAAAAATCTACTTTTAGCCCTTAATCTTAATAAATTTATAAGTTTTAATCCATCACCTTATATTATAATACTTTTAACCCATCATCTTATATTATGATAATTTTATCCTTTACCTTTACGAATTAGAAAAAATAATATTTACTTAATGTCAATTTATAATATTCATCAACTGACTGTTAACATTATGTTAGTTTTGTTTTTATCACTGTTTATAATCTGTCAGCTGACTGTTAATATTTCAGCCAACAAATATTATTAACTCATGTTAAATAAAGATTATTTTCTTCAATTTATACAGATGAGAGACTAAAAATGTTACAGTATAAATTGAGGGGTTAAAACCAATAAATTTATTAAGTTAAAGGGTTAAAAATAAATTTTTATCTATGTTCATCCTCTCCCCCCTTTTTTTAAGGGGTTTTTTTGGATCTTCGTCAACACTATTTCATTGGGTTTGTTTGTTGGATGGACTGAATGTGAAGTTGGATTGGTAGGTTTCTCTAATCTTTCTATTCAAAAAGTAAAAGTCTACATTATAATAATAGTTATTTAGTAGTTTTGACCTTTTATTGAATAATCTTTCTATTATGTAGTTTTGTTTTTATTTTTATATATTTAAAAGTAAAAGTTTACATTGTAATTATGATTGCTTAATAGTTTTGACCTTTTATTGAATGATTTTTCCATTACACAACTCTGTATTTATTTTTATATAGAGATTACAGAAGAAATCTCTAATACTTTTATTCCCCCAAATTTGTCATAAATAAAATATTATGTTATATGATCTAAATTTTTTTGATATTTGAGATTATAATATCTAATCTTCTCTTTATAAAAAAGTTTATATCTTATTATATAAAAAATATTAAAATTTTTAATAAATCATAAATAAATATTTAATAGACTTTTGAATATACTTAACAAATCTTTAATAAATACTAAATAATATTAAATAAAATTTTTTAAATTTTTAATAGATTTTTTAAAATTTTTGATAAACACTTAATAAGTTTTTTGAAATGTAAATTCAATTATATTTTTTAATAATAATATTTTACTTTTACTAATTTTACTTTACTTTGACTTTAACTATTAAATAGAAACATATAAAATTACTTTTAGAGTCTTACATTTTTCCTAAAAAATTATTAAAAAAATTAAGAAAAAGGAGAGGATTCGCCATCGAAGTGACATTTAAAATTTGCATTTTTTTTTGGGATAAGGGAAACATTAGTGAAGAGTTAATATTTTTTTTTAGGTCAATAGTAAAGTCAAACACGAATGAACTCTACATGTTACTTTTGGAATAGGTTGGCCCATCCACTAAGCCACATGGGGGAGTTCAACATTTAAAATTTGCTTAATCATAATAAGTCGAAAGGTTTCCAATTGTTATACCCTAAATCAAGTCCCATGAGAATCAGAACACGTGGAGGCATTCTAGAGATAGTCTTATCAAAATTTGTTAGGATAAATCCTACTAGAATAAGAATACCCCAAACACCAATTAAATAAAATTATATTTCTAGAATAACTGTATTTAAACATCCTATAAATACCTCTAGGATCAACCTAAAGAGGTAGATTATTTTTTCCATCATCATTTTCTCTTCGTTGTAAACTCTCTCTATCAACAAAGATCTTGGTTTCACACAATCTATTCTATTTTTTAGTGTTAACATTTGGCGTCCACCGTGGGGCTTGGCACTTTTCAGTCCACGAATATCACATGGAAAATTCAGAAAATTCATCACGACCTCGTAAAAATATTCTGAGCTCCAGAAGCGAGGACAGAATGAGTGACTCTTCGTCATCAAGAACAAACCTAAGAAATACTGTTAATAATAAAAAAAAAAACCATCAGATTCAACCATGGCATCACAAATACATAAGCTTACACAAGACATGGAGGAGACGAGGCAAAATTTAAAAGCAATCGAGCGAGCCATAGCATCCATGACAAAAACTACTAACACCTCATCGCAAGAAGTAAGGCGTGAGTGCTTGTCACAAAGCGATGCCAAGACATTAGAGGGGAAGGAGCAAGATTCAACACAGGAAAACAGCAATCAAGATGAAAGTTATGTACCTTCAAAACCAACAGAATTGACGATTGAAACGAGTCTGCAACCATCCTCAACTTTCACTCAAAACAATTTTCGAAGCAAAAATGTGATACCTCGGACACATTCAAGCCAAAGAAGGCACAGCCAGCAAGTCCATAAGGCTACATTTGCCGCACCAGAACCACAAAAGGTAGAAACACAGGGTCATGATGACGGTATTTACAAAGAAATTGAAGCATTGTGACAACATCTGGCAAAAATAGAAGCAGGCAGGCAGAGGTACGTAGAACCAGCACACATAGCTTCAGTAGAAAAAGCCTTGGTAGACGAAATCATCAGGGAACCTATGCCATCAAATTGCAAAACTCTGCAACTAGCTGAATACGATGGAACTCAAGACCCAGTGGAGCACGTGTAAGGATATAGAATGGCAATGATGGTATATGGAGCCTCGAATGCTTTATTATACAAGCAACTTCCAACAACTTTCAAGAAAGTTGCACAGGCTTGAGCTCCTTGAAAGACCAACAATCATCTCCTAATAATCAAACAGAAGACATGAGAGTCACTAAGAGTCTACATAGCAAGATTCCATAATGAAGCTGTGCAGAAACAAATTAACAACTTACCAAATAAGTTTCATATCTTTTTACACTATTTAAATAATTATTTTCATAAATTTATCAATTATGATCTTGAAAGCACTAACAATTTTCTCATGTCTCTAAAGTAATTAAGATAGCAAAATCTATATAGCTTGTTTCTACTCTGAACCTGCGTAGCAAACAATCTTAAGATGATATAATATGCAAGCAAAAAGCTATGAGCAAGTTTAGGTGTACATAAATACCCAAGCAAAAAGCAAAAGCTACGAGCAAGTTTGGATGTACGTAAATATCCAAGCAAAAGTAACGCAAGCGAAGGAAAGAGCTGCGAGCAAGTTTGAATGTACATAAATATCCAAACAAAAGTTACGCAAGCAAAAGCTGTGAGCAAGTTTGGGTGTACATTAAATACCCAAGCAAAAGTTACCCAAGCAAAAGTTACACAAGCAAAAAGCTGTGAGCAAGTTTGGGTGTACATTAAATACTCAAGCAGAAGTTACACAAGGAAAGCTGTGAGCAGAAGTGACACAAGGAAAGTTGTGAGCAAGTTTAGGTGTACATAAATACCTAAGCAGAAGTTACACAAGGAAAAGCTGTGAGCAAGTTTGGGTGTACATTAAATACCCAAGCAGAAGTTACACAAGCAAAAGTTATGGGCAAGTTTGGGTGTACATAAATACCTAAGCAGAAGTTACACAAGCAAAAGCGGTGAGCAAGTTTTTGGTGTACCCTGACAAAAGCTATGCAAGATGTGCTACAGAGGTCAATGTAAATTTCAGAATATAAGGAAACATCTCACAATAAAGGCAACAATATAAGCAATAGCATGAGGAGCCAATTGGGGAAGGCTAATAGAGAATTCATCACAAATTTCAAGAAAAAGGGGATGCAAAGGAAAACGCAACCCACATGCAAATTGATCTTTGTAGACACACATATCAGGAGGAAGGCATTGGAACGCTACGCGATGCACGAGATGTTGAGGAGGAAAAACCTACGGATCTATCAAGTTCTTTTTATAAATCTCCTTAATCTCATCCACATCACAACTACTGGTAACCCAAGACACCTTATCAAGATCACAGAACACCTTTGCTGAGCCTAGAGGGATAACAGCTTTTCCACCATTTGAAGAAGAAACCAAAGGAACCTCTGTAGGAATAGAAGGAATCACAGGATCCCTCTCCACATGGCGTGAAACACCTTTCACAACAAACTTTCCATCTGCATTACGGGGAAGGTAGAAAACATCAAAAAAACTCAGACAAAGAAGAAGAAGGTGAGTACCCACGCCATCAGTAGAAGTCGAAATCGACAAAAAACTAGAAACAGAAGGATCAGTAGCCATGGTAAGCACAACCAACGAAACACGAAGTCGTAAAGGGTATACCCGCAGAAAGAAGAAACCAAAAAAGCAACCGACCCAGCACCAAATTAGAAACGCCTATCTGTAGAAAGAAGAAACCGAAAAAGCAAAAAGAAAGAGCAAAAAGGAAAAATAAAGAAAGAAAACAAAAGGAAACCGAAATGAAAAACGAAGTCAAACAAAAATGAAAAAGAAGAATCGGGAAACCCAAGAAAGCTCCATTTGAAAGCCAAAAGGATAAATTGCATAAAATCCCAAGGAAATAGGGGTTTAAACTTGGAAGGACTTGCCGTACCAACTAAACCATACAATGGGGGCCACGTGCATAAAAAAAAAGCTGCCAAGAAGTAGAAAATCTAGGAAATGCAGCTATGGAGATATGGAAAAATCAAGAAAGGACCTGAACAAATCAACACAAATCTGCAGAACAATTAATTTCAACAAAAATTTTTTAAGGAGGAAATTGCGTCAGGAATCACGAAGGAAAAATTTGTGTTGCACTCTTTTTTCCTTAAGCTCGATTTTTTATCCCACAGGGTTTTTTCTAGTTAAGGTTTTTAACGAGGCAGTCATGGTTAACAAAGTGGGCACCTACGAGCAGAATTTAAAACCAAGATCAGCAAAGTAATAAGAAAGACAGACACCCATTGAAGTTTTCGACACCCATTGAAGTTTTCACTACCCTCAAACTTTTTCATTGGAGGGCAAATGTTATACCCTAAATCAAGTCTCATAAGAATTAGGACACGTGGAGACATTCTAGAGATAGTCTTATTAAAGTTGGTTAGGATAAATTCTACTAGAATAAGAATACCCCAAACACCAATTAAATAAAATTGTATTCTTAGAATAATTCTATTTAAGTATCCTATAAATACCTCTAGAATCAACTTAAGGAGGTAGATTATTTTTTCCATCATCATTCTCTCTTCATTGTAAACTCTCTCTATCAACAAAGTTCTTGGTTCCACACCATCTATTTTATTTTTTAGTATTAACACCAATCATTTAAAAATTGCTTAATCGCGTCAAGTCAAAAGATTCCCAATAATTTTCTTTATTTTCTCCATGTGTTTCTTGCCAAAAGGATTTAGGAAAGCTACAACAAGAACGTACATAGAAATTCCATTTTTTTTAAAATAATAGAGGCAACTGGAGCCAAATCACATCGCTACAGATGTGATCCTATGAACTTTTGTCAGTTTGTGTACACAACAACAGTCCTGTTTCACCCTTTGCCCAAGTTCCTCCCAACATTCTTGGCCGTGGTTATAACCACAATAATTTATTTGTTAAGGAAATTAGAATTGTACTAAAAAATAATAATTTTATTTAATTTATTAGTTAAAAATAATTAATAAATATTATTTAATAAATTAAAATTAA